CCCGTTTCTGCTCCAAACTGTCCTCTCCTGCCTAGTATCAACTGCCACAGAATCAGAATGTTGATCTCAGGAGAGGGGGAGGGGAGCTGTGTTTAAATCTTTCCTCCCTTAGGTCTCCCCCAGATTGGTGGCCTGTGCTGGGTAAGGTTCTCCTCTTGAGGCCTGGTGTAAAGGTGGTGTTCAATGTTAGTTAAGTAAAAAGAAATAATAGATTACTAATTTAAATTTGCAACTCCATCTGTCCATCCTACCATCACATTGCTCTTACACCAAATGACTTATCTTTGGCCTGGTCTTAATCTATTGTATTAAAGCGTGGAATTTAAATACTTCCTGAGATTAAAAATAAAACTTTTATTATAGAACATTTCAGAGAAACACAAGGAATAGTATAACGAATTCCCATTTACCCTCACCCAGCTCCAACAAATGTCAATTTACTGCCAATCTTGTTTCATCTATAGCCACCAACCACCCCAATTATTTATTTATTGTTGATAACCAAAGGTACTACCTCCTTTATTCTCAGTATGATCTGCACATTCCTTCTCAGACAAGAACCAAACCCTTAAATAGAAAAATTTAAAACTATACAATAAATGAATATATTCTCATTAAAAAATAAAGTTATTTTAAATGACTCAATGAATTTATTGAACCCAAACAATATTTTCATATGTTGAGGTTAAACTAGAAAATTATGAATTAGTTTCAATAAAATAGATAAGGATATAAAAGTCAGAGAATAAGAACTTATGAAATTTAGTTTTGGTTACATGCGTTGTAGTGTTCAGGGTTCAGAGTGAATAATCAAGTGCAAGGTTGATAGACAAACATCTATTTTGTAACTTGAGGGTAAAGCAAAGTATGAAAAAAAGTGATTTGAGGGGACGGCAGGTTAAGGAAGGCCTTTTAAAATATTTGGTTTAGCTGGCTTTTTTTAAACATCAAGGTGAATTATGAGTGGCTTTGGTCTAAAGAGAACAAAACCCTGTGAGTAAGAGGCGTGAAGACTCATTAGTGAGGCAAGAGTTTAAAGCAGCAAGAGAAGATGGAATCTGGAAGACACGGAGAGAGAATGGCCTCAGTTAATCTCTTCCTTCCAAATAGAGGGGATAGGATTGAGGATGAGAGCAGTTTCAATGCTCTCATTGAACATTCAATGAGTTTTGGAGGTTATTAAGGAGCGAGATGTCCAGTAAACCTCCTAAAGGTCATCTATTGTGTATGAGAAAGAGTCATTAGAGACTGGGGACTCTGCAGTAATGAAAGCCACTTAATGTTAGAACCTATAATAAACTAATATTTGGCATCAAATAAAAAATAAGTTTGGTATGTCAATTATACCTCAATAAGGAAAAAAAAAATAAGTTTGATGTCATCAACCAAACAGGTATCAAGAGCCATTTCAGGGACTGGGATCTTTGGATTTCAGTTCCAATCACTCATCCTCATCGCCTCTCCCAGATTCATGTCTTGGCCTGATTCCCATTAATTTTATTTATAACCCACCCATTATTTTTCCACTGAATATAAACAAGAATTCTGCATGCATACACATACCTTTTTATTTTTTATTTAACATATACTTACATAGTGCTTATCATTGTCAAATACCACTCTAAGCCCTTTAAAACTATTAACTTATTTAATTGAGAAGAGAGATGGCCATGTTCCCCCAAATCATAAGATCTAAATTGATTTTCAATCTATAGGAATTAATAGGTTTGGTTTAAAAGTTGGGAGTAGAACAATTTCAGAGCTAAACATTATAAGGTGGATTCCCAAAACATTCTCTGTCCCTGCCTTGCCACACCACTATATTTGAGGAAGAAGGTACTGGTTGAAGAGATTTACAAAGGCTTTGGGCCTCTCTCCAAAGGCCTCACAACAACTTTTATGCTTTTAGGTGAAAAAAAAAGTAGTTACTTCTCATAACAAAGTTGAGTACTTCAAGTTTAAGCTAATAATCCGCGTCTCCAAGCAATTTTCTATCCCTTAGAAAATGGCAAACTAATGGGAAAGTCACCTTTGGATTCCCCTATGGTTAGATTAAAAAAACAACAAACTTGTCTTGATTGCAAGATTAGCCTGCAGATAGTGTTAAAAAGTCATAGGATTCACCTATGGTTCGATTAAAAAAACAACAAACTTGTGATTGCAAGATTAGCCTGCAGATAGTGTTAAGAAGTCCTAGGATTCACCTATATCACATTTCAATAGGATATAACCTAAAGAGAGCCTAGTGCCCATTTACACAAAATGACTCCACATTTACACAAAATGACTCCACATTTTAAAAATACATTTTGGAATCTTTTGGCCCATATCACACAAGTGCAAAGTGTTTTCCTATGAAATTATCAGTGGCTCAAGTCACATGAACATCTTATTTTACACAATAGTCTTATTCTTGAGAAAATAAAGGTTTGGGCTTTTTTTAAAAAACAACACAAACAAAAATCACTCCCTATTTTAAATGCACCAAGTTCCTTCTATCTAAAGGAGCCCCAAGATGAGTATCCTTTGAAACAATTTTTGCAAATAATCACCTCCTATATACCTCATTCATAACTTAAAAATGTCATGGGTTATCACCCTCACTCTGCCAGGTAACTTTTGACAACAGAAGTGGAATTCTCCAATTTACAGAATCTATTACAAAATTAGGGCTGAAGTTAGTAGGGACCTTTTACAGAACCTGACACTCTAGATGCTCAATATTTACTAAATGAACCGATGGGGCTATTTTAGACTAACTTCTAAACAATCTCTTTACCCTTACTTAACTACTGTTACAGGTAATCACACCTTGAGGTGTGGCGTTTTACACCTGAGCAGAGATCACATGTATCACGTAGTCGGTGCACAGTTATATATTAACAATTATATCACCACCAAGAATTGTTATGTGAAGCTCCACGTTAACCGACTTCTGGCAAGTCGCTTAATTTTAACTGGACCTTCTGTGAAGTAATGTTTCTAAACGCTAGGTACTAGCACAAGAAACAAGGCTGAGAAAACTGAAGGCTCAACGAGCTCGATTTTCAATCCTCTCTTCTGGACTACTGCCACCGAGCGCCAGATGCCAGAGACATAATAAAAAACTGGGAAAACTGAAGATTTCGGATTGGGTATCTTCCCTTTAAAAAAAATGTGCAAAACTAAGATGTGATTAGTCATGCATCGCTTCAGGGGTGCAGGAAATCGACGTTCTGACTCCGCGGTGATTTAAACGTGAGACGGGGGAAGAGGTGTTTCCCCCCCCCCCCACCTTTCCTTTTTTCCAGGCCCTGTGACTTAAGAACACAGAGGCATCTCAGGGGAGAACAAGAAAAGCTACCACCGAAATCATCACGTTTTAGGGTTTGGCTAGTTACGGGAAAGGTGGTTCAGACCTGGGTAGATGCTTGCATGGCCCCCACACCACTTATGCCCGAGGATATCACCAATCCATACCCTGACCTCGCCCCCATTCCCCGGCCGGGCCAAGGAGCCCTCACGCCGGCGGAGCGCTTGCCCTTCTGCATCTCAAGGTTACAGGACCGGCGGGCGCGCAGGGCAGCAGTAACAGCCCACAGAGGAGCTGACGAAGCTGCCACCGGTGCGCAGGGCGCCACCCGCTCCCAAGCCCCACTTCACCTCGTACGCTGGAAGTCAGAGTCATGGCGCTGTCGCTTGCAAGGCGTGTGCACAGGACACAGAGCACAAACAGGCTCGCGCGGACAGCAGGAGTCAAGGTGCGACAGGCGGCCTAAGGGCACCTACTCCAGGCTGCTACGGCGCAGGCGCCAAGAGGGGCCGTAAGCACGTGTGTATTATCCGCCCCGGCTGATGCTGAGCATGCGCGGAGCTGCCTCCCGGGCCTTAGGAAACTCTTGAGTCCGGATTTTGACAGCCGCAGGAGCGGGGGAGGAGGAAGAGACCTAGAGAGGGGGCAACTGAGTCTGCGCAATCCTGAGGGGCGGGATCCTAGTGTACAGGGGCAGGGCCTTGGAAATAGGGAGTCCAGGCCAGATTTTACGTCTCTTCCAGGTGTGCGGGTTTCTCCGGGCAGAGGGCCGGTGTTGGGACTTGCCGTAATCAGATATCTAAGATTTTTACCCGACTTTTCTTGCTCAGTCCAGTACCTGCAGGCCGGGTCCAGTTTTCATATAAAATGCCAGTGGCAGACACATGAATCAATTGCGGAGTCTCATTCCAGAACCTCCCCTCGCTGCCAATGTGCATCCCTTTCTTCTGCCTTTGACCCAATTAGTTAGTTATTGAGGACCTTGGAACCTGCGCTAAGGGTCGCGTGGGGGAGAGAAAAAAAACGGCTCATTTCTTCAAAAAAATGTGCTAACTTGAAGGAATAAAGCTTATTCTCTATTTTCTACAGTTTGAAATTAGTGTCGGTTCCAAAATTTTTTATAAAAGCGGTTTAGCGGCACCAATTTGGGGAGGCGGGCAGGATTAACTTGAAGGGTGTTTTGAAGGTGAATCTTCTAATAAGCTGCTTATTTTTACTCCTACTGTTTCTCTGCGGGGGAGGAGTTGGAGGGAGTTGATTGCAGTTAAAGGGTGGCCTCCCAAAGCCACCCTTGGCACAGCTACTGCCTCCCAACTGTTCTAACAAGTAACTGGCGGCTCTTCACAACTGGAAGCCCCTGGCGTCTTTGAGCCGGACCCCGGGAAGCGCTGAAGCACGCACTGAATGAATGAAGGCACAACAACCCCGGTGGCACCGTAACAGCAGCCCGGGGGTGGGGCGAGAAGGACTGCAAGTGCGTTCACCCCCTCCAGGTCGCCTTCAGCCCGCCGCGCGCCCGCGGGGTTGCGGGGGTCCCGTCGGGCGGCCTCTGAGCATGCTCAGTAGCGGCGGCGGCCGCGGGTCGCGCGGTCGGAAGCTCGCGGCGGCGGCGGCCGTGCAGGCGGTGCTGACGCGCGCGCGGCAGCTGAGGCGACTGGAGGACGGCGGGAGGGGGCGGGGGCGCGGGAGGTGGGGCCGCCGTCGCCGTCAGGGCCCCGGGGAGTGCTGGGCGCCGCTGCCGCGGCTCCTTCGCTCGGTTCCGTCTCCAGGGCTGCGCCGTGCCGGCGGCCGCGGCAGCAGAGCAGCGGGAGCCGGGAGCCGCGCTCTGCCGAGAGTTGGGCTGGCGAGCGCCCGCACCTCCGCGGCGTCATGGGCCCCCTCCCCGGGCCTCAGCGGGCACCAGCCGCGGGAACCCCCGGGCCTCCTCGCGGCCGAGACTGAGCGACCCCCGGGTTCTCCGGCGCCCCCTCCCTCCGTCCTATTTTTGTCCTGCTCTCGCCGCCGCTACCGCTTGAGCTCTCAGTTATGGCAACGGAGCCACCATCCCCCCTCCGGCTCGAGGCGCCCGTCCCCCCAGAAAAGCGGAGCTCACCGGTGAGCGAGGCCGCCCCCGAGGGCACCCCGAAACCGGCGGGCGGCAGGCTCCGCTTCCTCAACGGCTGCGTGCCCCTCTCGCATCAGGTGGCCGGACACATGTACGGGAAGGACAAAGTGGGTAAGTGGGGGTGGCGCGGGGCTCGCCGCTCCCCTTCCGCCTCCGTGAGCCCCCAGCCGGCCGAGGCAGCCTGGACGCTCCTCCGGTTCTGCACGCCTCACCCCGGCCTCTTCCGCCCTCCCCCAGAGCCTCGCGACCCGTGCAGCAGGGGCTCGAAAAGTGGGGCGATTCCTAGGATGTGGGGCGTCAGGCTTGCAGCAGGAGGTGGCGGGGAGGGGAGTGCCTGGTCTCCCCAGGGAGGATGGGTGTCAATTGGAGACGGCGTTGTTAGTGAAAATAAGGAACTTCAATTGCACTGGACGGGGAAGTAAATTCTCCCCTGAGCACAGGGTCTGTTTATTATAGGCGGGCAGCTATTGCAAAAGAAAAGGAATGAAATGCAGATGATGCGAATCTGGTGCTTCTCTTCTGGGTGCAGCTGCATAGCTGGAGGGGAAGGAAGAACATAGGGCTTTTTCTTTCTTTCTTTCTTTTTTGGAAAGCTTGTCTAGGTTTATCCGAGATCTCTCTCCCTGCCCCCTTGAGAGGTTTTTCTGATATCTCCTGGATTTCTCTGGGAGGTATGCTTCCAGTAGAGCACAAACTCGGATCATGGTAGGAAATACACACGGCTGTTGTACTAGAATGGTACTCAGATGAGACATTTCAGTTGTTCGTGATCATCTTCATCAGACTTGTATCATGGCGTGTGTAATACATTTTGTGAGCTCGCAACGTTTAAAGCACAAGACAGGGCCTATCTCAGTTTATTCTCTTGGTGATGAAGTTAAGTTTAGGAACTGTAATTCACCTAGCTTACTCACACTGGATCCCTGGGCCATGATTATTTGGGGAATCTGATGGATGAGTATGTGAGAAATGGGGATGTTAGACCTGGAAACCACTAGAGACAATTTAGTTTATGCTGGTAAAATAATGCTGACATTTTTAGACGAGATAACTGAGGCCAAGCCTGGTTAAGTGACAAACCTGAAGTCACACAGATACTATGTATTAGAAGAACCGGGAAACCAAGGGTCCGGTCTCAGAGCTCTGTTTTTTTCCACCGTGTACTGTGCTTGCAGATAACTCAAACAAGGATTTTTGAAAATGGATGAGTATTCGTTTGAGTGTATGTATTTCTTAAAGAGCAGAATTTCCCACTACTTTTGTCTTTACCTCTTTCTTTTCTCTTGTTGAAAATTAGGCTTTAATGACGTTGTCAAGTAGATTGTGTGCCTTTCTCCCCACTAAATTTTGAATTCCTCGAGGTTAGAGACCAAATCTGTTTATTCTCATAGCCTTGTACATAGACTGGGCTCAGTTAAACTTGGAAAATGTCGAAAGAGTGAAAATTGACAGTTCTTTTAGTATACCTGGGTAAGGAAACAAGGAAACAAATATCATTCCCAAGGTGCTTCGCATAGATGTAAGGAAACAACCTTCTCAATATGCTTAGCATAGACATATTTTTGTGTGTGTCACTTCTGGTAATGAGAGTTTGAGTATTTATGGAATTACTGTTAATAGATTTATAGTGCATACCTATTGATTTATATTAATGAATTGTAGTGATACTATTCCTGATGATATTCTAGAGGCCTGAAAAAATAATTGTTTCCCTGAGGGTCCCTAGAGATCGATTTGCTTGCAAAGGAGGATAAACAAAAAATCCTAACATAAACACAAACAATTTCAATGACGATTGTCACTTGAGTGTAACCGCTGCTTATCCAAGTTTGTAATAGTGAGCCTATTCAGAGAGCTACATCTAAGTAATTACAAATATACCCGGAATGTGACTTAAAACTACATTGCAGACCGTGGCTGAAAGAGTTAATTTGTCACCCAAATTACCTAATTAAAGGAGTTGTTTAGATTCAAGAGGAAGGAATCCTTAATTTTATTTATTATTGCATTCAATTTAAAATAACCTTTTTTCAGTTTTGTAAGATTATCTTGACTAGGGACTGTCTTTGTATCAATAGTGCACAATGCCTCAAACATACTGTGCTGGGAATCTAATAAATATTTGTTGAACTTAATTCTCAGTTATTTACACAATCTTGCATATATTATGTATTGTTAGTGAAAGGACACCTGAATGGTGATAATCTTTTCTATTCGTAAAATGGATAACAAGATGGTTAGTAATTCAGAGTTCAAGAATTTATTATGTCTCTCCACTACCATAAATTACTTATAGTTATAAAGTAGGTCGTGTAGAACAGAGTTTGGTTTGGCTATCAACTGAAATTCTCAGAATAAACTTTCTTTAAAGACGTGTGGATATTTGTTTTTGTTTTGGTTTTTTAAAATTTCTGTTACTCTCATTAAGTAACCAGGGTTTTTGAATTTAGGATTGCTATCTTACCTGTTTTCAAAAAAGAGTTGTTGGCTTTTTTAAATTAAAAATTGCAAACATGGAGCCAATAGCACAAAGGTACTTGAACAGAAAAATAGATCTTGTTACAGTTAGGTAATAAGAATATGTTATAATTCTGATATCAAAGTTATATTTTATGTTCTTTAATGAAATCATATTTTATCAAAGTACATTTAAATCTTATTTCTAAGAATACGAAGTGTTTAGTTTTTTAAAATTGGAAAAGTAGTGCATGATCTTTTAGGAAAAAAATTCATACAGTGTAGTAGTGCCCCTCACCCCAGGGACAAGCACTGGTACCTCTTTCCTGTGAATCCAACAACAGGTGTTGTTTCTGGGCACAAATAGAAACATATGAACACAGTTCTTATTTTTCATACAAATAGATATATCAGCAACTTTTTGTTTTCATTCTGTATTATGTAGTATATCCGTTTTTTTCCACTATTGTATTCTACAGTGTGGATGTATCATAATTTATTCCTCTGGTGGTGGATTTTTAAATTTTCACTATTTTTTTTGCAATTATAAATGTATTAAACATTCTTGTACAATATAGTATACCTTGCTCATTGTGCAGGTTTTTCTCTAGGCAAGTTTCACAAAAATGTAATTGCTATCAATTTAAATTCCAAAAGCTTGCCAAAGTTAGCATAAAATCCTTTTTCTGTTTTAATTTTTAACATGTACCACTGATTTCTTTTGAAAGTCCTTAACGTTTTAAACAAATAGTTGAAATCTGGTGTGTGTATCCTGATCCAACTTAGGATATAGAAATGAGGAAGTTTATAGGGAAAAGAAGGATTTAAACTGTTGTTGTTTTAGGGGGAAGCCCACAACTATTTTGGCTTACTGGTCTTATTTTATTAGATATTCTCTGAAACTAATTGACTTAAAATAATTTCAAATTTACAGAAAAGTTGCAAGAACAATAGAGAGAACTTATTATTTTGCCGAATTTATCTCTCTATGCATATTATTTTTTTCTGAACTGTTTGAGTATAGGTTGCGTAGATCCTGCCCCTTTATACAGTCATACTTCAGTGTGTGTTTCTGTAACCACAGCACCTTTATCAAATAGGGAAATTTAAGTGATACAATGCTTTTATCTAATCTGTAGTCCATATGCTAATTTTGTCAAGTGTTCCAGTGTCTTTTATCATATTTGTTTTTCTTGGTACAGGATCTAGTCCAGGATCATTTATTCCATTTAGTTGTCATGTCTCTTAGAATCCTTCAATTTGTAACAGTTCCTCAGCCTTTTTTTGTCTTTTATGACATTGTCATTTTTGAAGAGTACAGGCTAGTTATTTTACAAAATAGTCTTTAGTTCGGATTTCTCATGGGTTCTTATGGTGAGATTCAGGTAATGCATTTCTGGCTGGAACATTATACAAGTGTGTCCTTCCTAAGGTATCACATCTGGAGGCCCACAGTCTCCATCTGCGCATTATTAATGATCACAGTTTTGATCATCTGGTCTAAGTGTGGTGTGGCTTCTCCAGTATATAGTCAATATTTTCCCCCTTGCAACTAATAAGCTGTCTGTGAGGAGACCCTTTAAGATCATGCAGCTATCCGGATCCTCATCATACTTCACCCCTAGATTTGGCATCTATTGATGATTCTTGCCTGAAATAGTCTTTAGTCTGAGAGTTGAAAAATTCTGATTTTTCCAATTTTACCACTCTTCCTATTTTAATGACATTTTGTTATAAGAAATAGCCCTCCCTTTTCTCCTATGTACATATCTATGTGCTTTTTTAATGATCAGTTTGGACGTATGGATTCTTATTTTGTAAAGTGTCATAACCCATTATAGAACTTATTTATTTTGCTCTTCAGATTGTCCCAGATTTGGTCAGTGGGAGCACTTCCTTTCTGTCACGAGTTATTTTAGACTCATCTCATACTTCCCTTCCCAGCTCCAGAACCAGTCATTTTTCCAAGAAGCCCTGGTTCATTTTTAGTGGGAAATGATATTTTGAAACCAAGATCTGGATGCTAGATGTGCTCATTGCCACTGGGGTATCATTACTTCCAGGCCTTTTTAATGGATATAACTAAAAAGTATGTATAGATATTTTAGAAATCATAGTTTCATGCTAATACTTTCAATTTCATTCCGACTCGACAGAGTTCTTCCTTTCCTGATTCTAAATTTGTGTTTCCCATCTACCTCAGTGAGAACCCTGGCTCTCAATAATATTACTATGTTTTTTTCCCCCATCCTATAATTTTCAGAATTTTTATACGCATACTACTGCAGAAAACAAATCTAAAATAAAGAATTCAGGATCCCTTATACTGAGGGTATCTGGTTGGAAACTCTTCAAAAGTTATTTAGATTAGGGGTGTCTTTTTGTTGTTGTTTTTGCTCCCTCTTCTCTCTGGTAATATTATTAATTTGAAATACAGTTGGATTCATTTGTTTCTGTTTAAATTCAGTTCCTTCTCTTCATTTTTGTTTAATTATATGTTTTTAAATGCTTATAAAATTAACATGCTTCCAAAAGTCAAAACTTGACAGAACAGTTTGTCAGAAGTGGCACTCCATTCCCTATCACTCCACCCCATTCCTCAGTGTCCCTTGTAGGTAACCAATTTCATTGTTTTCTGATTTATCCTTTCTGAG